TTGGAAGTCAGATAAATAAAAAGAATATAGAGACAGGAAGCTCTTCCATCCGCTGGTTCACTCCCCAAGCAGATGCAATGGCTGGTGCTGAGCTGATCCGAAGGCAGGAACCCGGAGCCTCTTCTGGGTCTCCCATGCGGGTGCAAGGTCCCAAGGCTTTGGGCCGTCCTCAACCATTCTCTCAGGCCACAAGCAGGGAGTTAGATGGGAAGCGGGGCTGCAGAGATTACAACCGGTGCCCATCTTGGATCCCAGTGTGTGCAAGATGAAGACTTCAGCTGCTAGGCGTTTACACACACAGGCACATGCATACATTTGAATCTGAGACTTTTTAATTGTTCTGTAGCTTGAGTTCTGCATTTACTTACAAAGTGCTTTGAACATAAGAGTTACGAAATATTTGAGAGTTCATATTCCGAATTTAACCAGGGGCCAGCATTTGGGGTGCATCAGATTAAACTTCTGCCTACAACACTGGCATCTGATTTTGGAGTGCTGGTTTGAGTTCTGGCTGCTCCTCCTCCAGTCCAGATCCCTGCAGTTTTACCTGGGAAAGCAGTAGATCATGTTCCAAGTACCTGGAGCCCTGACATCCCTGTGGGACCCTAGGATTGAGCTTCCATCTCCCGTACTCAGTTTGGTCCAGCCCTGGCTGTTGCAACACTCAAGAAGTGAACTAGTAAATGGAAGATGCCTCTCTCTCTCCCTCTCTCCATCTCTCCCTCCAATGAATAAAGAGGTATTTAAGAAGGATTTAATCAAAGAAAATGCAGGAAAACTATAAGATGCAATTTAGGGCTGTCCATCTTTTGAGCTCCTGTGCTCTGCCTCCATCCTCCTTCATTGTTGAAAACCTATAGCCAACGTATTTCTGTGACGTAGCTATTAGTACTATCTTTGCCCCTCTCCTGGATTTTGATTGGGCACCCAACAGAGGAAAAAAACACTCCTTTGAACCAGATCTCACCCCACCAATACAGCCCCCAAAGCTGGCTCTTTCTAATCTCAAAAATCTGAAGTCATTTAAAATAGAAACTAAAAGAATCCAATAAGCTTTTCTTCTATTTCTCTTGAGCAAAATGAAACATGGCACAGCATTCAGCCTACCTCTTCCTCATGCATGTAGATTTTTGGAGCAAACTTTCATAGATAGGAGTTAAACTGTTTACTCTCATGGTAAGCCACTTCTCTCTTTTGCTTTCTGATATCTATAGTCTTTTGGTCTATGTTCCATTTTCATTATCAATACAGCCTCCCTGATGAGTCCTCGCTTTCATTTTAATGTTTTAGTGCAGCCAGCAATGTCAATACTACTAATTCAGTGTTACAGTTCAATGAATTGAATGATGTGGAAAAGTCGTATGTGTTCAAAACACACAGAAATCACAATAGGACAATACGCGTGTGTGATTCTATATGCAGGCTTGCTTCTGTCACCTCTTTTGTTTGTAGATTAACAAGTGAGCAATTACTATTCACTGTATTTACAAAGTCACATCTAAAGAACCTGTGTCATGATGCAAAACTTATCAAGTGATGTTTTCATGTGGGGAACACTTTCATCCTCCTTGCTGCACATTTGTTAGGCATTATCTGCATCAGTGCTCATGTTTGCTAATCACAGATTCTCACAAGGTAGCCCGGTGCTTTTCCTAAGCCCAGGGTACCCGAGGTTGTGAAAGAAATGACAAGTTCTAAGAATATATTGAGTAGTGATCATTATTGGAACCGGAGGAAATATAGGTTCTTACATTTCTAATAATGCTCATAGAATTTTTAACTTTCCCTTTATATTGAAACGTGCTAGTAGATAAAAGTAAATAGTACTCATTTTGTGCCAGAACATCAGCAGATGGTATCTAGCAATATCTTATTTCGCTGAAGTACGGTTTATATAAATGAAAAGTGTTTTTATTTCCTAAATGGGAACTTTTTAAAAAAATATATTTACTTCTAAGAACTCCTGTTGCCTACAGCTGAATTGAGTTCTTTTTGTTTTTTTTCCTTTCTTAATGCAATAATTTCCAATATTGTTCATGGCCAATACATATTTAAAAGCATAATTTACTTTGGACTATAATGAACAGGCTGTAACTAAAGCAAGGAGACTTCTTAGAATTCTCCTAATATGGATGATGTGTTAGCTGGAATTCATTGTTTATAGGAATGCCCTTGTTGAAATTTACAAGAGATTCAAATATATTTTCATTGAAAATAATACACTTGCAGAAAAATTTTGTGACAGTGTAAGATATTTCAGCCACGGTGAATAATTTCTACTGGGCTGGCAGTGGAGTACTAATTTTGTTGAAAACTTTAAGCTTGAAAATCCTATTGTTTTTCTCTGCACATATAATTCCTTTGATTTTTTTTTTTAACAGAAACAGATATTGAAATTTTGAGATTGAAACCCCATGCGTTATATAGGATTTCCTGTAAGATAATTTTATTGAAGGTGAATACTGTGTACTTTGATCAGTTTGGTCAAAGGATTTTAACTGAAAGCTCAAGTAGGACACATCCATTCAAGTGCTTGGCCAATGAAATATTGGAAGCCAGTTGTTTATGTGTATGTATGGTGTTTTCTCTGGGTCAAAAAAAAAATTAGTTTGGAGTCTTATATTAATTCATCTTACCCTTTCGATAAACCCATAATGTAAGAATAAATAATAGCTTCCTTTCAGATATATATGTTTTCGTAAGTATATACCGGAAGCCCAAGAAGTTTAAGCAACATACTAAAGCTCTCATAATTATAAAAGGCAGATGAGGAATTGAGGACTGGGTCTCCCTCACTGTTTCCTAGTGCCTCTCCTTGTGAGGGAAACCTGTTCTCCACCTTTGCGATTGTTCCAGTTGTTGTTGTTTTGTTTGTTTCAAGCTGGGATAATAGTTATTACAGTATCCAGACAGCGATTGGTAAGCTGAGTCAATTCATCGACTGCCTTGTGCTCCCATGATTGACATGTGTCATTAAATACTCCAACCGTGGAGGCTCCATAGAAATTCTGAATTCACTCTACCCCCAAGATAAACACACTTGTGTGTCAATTAAAAACAAAATTAGAAAAAAGAAAAAAAAAAGGCAGGAAAAGGGGGGAAGGCCCACTGATGAATGCAAAACTAAATGCCAATCTAGGCAGAAAGAGAACCCATGAAATGGAACTTGTTACTGGAGAGCACAGACAGTATGGTACAAGAGATTTCTGAGTGGACAGGAACATTTGAAATTTAACTTCACAGGCTTTCTTTAGCTTGAAACTTTGTTTTAAAAAGTGTTTCATTGAGCCTGATGTCTTAGATGAAAGCTAATAACAGTATATTAAGTTCTTAGGAACCCATTAAGCGTAACTCTGACTTTAATAAAAGTCTTAATGTGTTCCTCATATTGTATATTCCAGGCTTAGCCAACAAATTCTGAAAAGTTCACTACTTGACTCCGAATCTTTAGAAATAGCCACAAGATTTAATTTTAATTTTTTCTCCAAAGAAAAATGTGTACCTATATTTGGGGGGCACTCACATTAACTTAAAAATTATAATCAGGGTATTTTTATAGCCATCCACTTTGTTTCAAAAAAAAAAATCGTTCCTTTAAAATGACTGTCATTGAATGCCATTTACTTCCACAATAACAGAAACAATAATTTATCAAATCACCTCACAGTCATAATCCACTTAGTATAGAAGAACAGCATAAATTTTAAAATTCTTAAGCATCCAAAAACACACGATTTTCAGCTTTCTAATGACCATTTTTGTATTCATAAGACTTTGAGATTATGGTGGAAAAACATTTTAAGTATGACCTAAATCTGCATTAGTATTTTTAAAATTTGGAAGAAAGTGTTTGTAAGAACTCGGTTTTTATTACACTGTCGTCCGTGCAGGTTTTTTCAAGTAAATTTTTGTGAAGATAGAATGCAAGTTTATAAAAAAAAATAGGATCCTATTGTCTCATTTGACCTTCAGAACAAATCTCTGAATTAATTGAGTGGCATATACAATAACAACTTAGGAATCTAAGTCGTTGCCAGAGGAATCTCCCATTCTCTCTGTCCCTTGAGGTTTTTCGGTGAGGAGACACAAACTACAATTTCAAAATCAGTGTGCCCAGTTGCTCAGACTGCTGATGTTTATTCAATCCGTCTAAATATTACAACTTGGAAAAATATGATAAACCTCACTGAATTTTTTAGGATACTGTCTCATACATTAAGGAAGCAATTATGAGCTATGTAGGGAGCAGACAAATGATGTCTGAAAATAAATTGAAACACCTTGAAAGAAACAAATGAGAAAAGGCATTGAAATCATAGCATCTTGGGCAAAATGTGCTGTAATTCAGAAGATACAGCTACGAGGCAAAATTCATAGACTGTAATATTTTCTATTGCTTTCCTGCCCTCAGCATTTGCTGAGCAGCAGGAAAAGGAGGCATGAATAATGTCTTTGCATCGTAAGGCAAAGAGGCCATCTTGAAAGAGTGCAAGAGTGAGGCCTGATTGCATCTGAGCGCCTTAAAACATTGCAGGATTGGATCAGAAATGAAACCACCTCCAGGGAGTAAATGTGGGAAGGGAAAGACAGGTACCACATAGCACGCTAAACAAAAACCATCTTCAACAAATGTACCTTCAACTTTGGTTAATTCAAGTCCACTAAAGGTAGATTCAGTAAATCGTGTGTATATGGATGTGGAGGGAACGTACTATTTTAGAGTTCTCCTTGGAATCTTAGTAGAAATTTCTTGCCTTTACAAGCGATAAGTTCATTGCTTGATTTGTAAACGCACTCCCGATTTCACAGGAGTTGTAATAATAAATAGCTGACTCACCAAGATGAAGAAGGTATTTTTCATTAATAACATGTGTAGTTGAAAAACTTGTATGATACAGCATGCAATTTTTATTTGAATGCAAATTGTGAAACTCTTTTTGCCCTTACTTTCACTTCGATAACAAAAGAATTTTTGTTTTCCTTCTTTCGCTTCTCTGTAGACGAAATGTTCTCAAACCATGACACCATCTGGCACTCAGAAAAAAGTTAAGAGAACTTTGCCAAATCCGCCTCCTGAGGAAACTTCCACAGGAACACAGTCAACCTACAGCACAATGAGCACCATCTCCAGGAGAAGAATCTGCAGAAGCAACACGATGGCCCGAGCCAAGATCCTGCAAGACATCGACAGGGAGCTTGACCTTGTGGAAAGAGAGTCTGCGAAGCTGAGAAAGAAACAGGCGGAACTGGATGAAGAAGAAAAGGAGATAGATGCCAAGTTGCGGTACCTGGAAATGGGAATTAACAGGAGGAAGGAGGCCTTACTCAAGGAGAGAGAGAAGAGGGAACGAGCCTACTTGCAGGGTGTAGCCGAGGACCGCGATTACATGTCTGACAGCGAAGTGAGCACCACCAGGCCCACCCGAATAGAAAGCCAACATGGCATTGAACGCCCCAGGACTGCTCCTCAGCCCGAATTCCCCCAGTTTATACCACCACAAACCCAGACAGAATCTCAGCTAGTCCCTCCTACAAGTCCATATACCCAGTACCAATATTCTTCCCCTGCCCTTCCCACCCAGGCCCCCACCCCGTACACCCAGCAATCCCATTTTCAGCAACAGACTTTGTACCCTCAGCAAGTTTCACCTTATCAGACTCAGCCAACATTCCAAGCTGTGGCTACGATGTCCTTCACACCTCAAGCCCAACCTACACCGTCCCCACAGCCGTCTTACCAGCTACCGTCACATATGATGGTCATTCCGCAGAAGCCACGGCAAACGGCACTGTACCTTGAGCCCAAGATAACTTCCAACTACGACGTTGTTCGGAACCAGCCCCTGATGATAGCCCCTGCTTCTACTGATAACACATACGCCGTTTCCCATCTCGGAAGCAAGTACAATACTTTAGACTTGAGGATGGGCTTGGAGGATAGAAGCAGTATGGCCAACAGCCCAATATCTTGCATATCTGCAGATTCTTTCTACACAGACATCGACCACCACCCTTCACGAAATTATGTTTTAATTGATGATATTGGCGAGATTACCAAAAGTACAGCAGCTCTGAGCACTGCGTTTAGCCTCCACGGCAAGGAGCTGTCAAAAACGGACCGTCTGCTCCGTACCACTGACGCACGCAGGTCTCAAGACGTGACAGACTTCCTTGCGCCCTTACAGACTCCTTCCAGATTACATAGCTACGTGAAAGCAGAGGAAGACCCGATGGAGGAGCCATATGAGTTGAAGTTTCTGAAACAGCAGATTAAGCAAGAATTCCGTAGAGGGACAGAGAGCTTAGATCATCTTGCCGGACTGTCCCATTATTACCATGCAGATACTGGCTATCGGCATTTTCCCAAATCTGAAAAATACAGCATCAGCAGACTCACACTTGAAAAGCAAGCTGCAAAACAGCTACCCGCGGCCATCCTGTATCAGAAACAGTCAAAGCATAAGAAATCACTCATTGACCCTAAAGTGTCCAAATTTTCACCCATTCAGGAAAGTAGGGACCTAGAACCTGACTATTCCAGCTACCTGACTTCCAGCACGTCTTCTATTGGTGGTATTTCCTCTAGGGCAAGGCTCCTTCAAGATGACATCACTTTTGGCCTCCGAAAAAATATTACAGACCAACAAAAATTTATGGGCTCATCTCTTGGCACGGGGCTGGGCACATTAGGGAACACCATAAGGGCAGCTCTGCAGGATGAGGCAGATAAGCCTTACAGTAGTGGCAGCCGGTCCAGACCTTCCTCCAGACCTTCTTCTGTGTATGGGCTCGATTTGTCGATCAAAAGAGACTCTTCCAGCTCATCTCTAAGACTGAAAGCTCAAGAAGCCGAAGCTCTGGATGTTTCCTTCGCTCATTCTTCATCTTCTGCCAGAACTAAGCCTACCAGTTTGCCAATTAGTCAGAGTAGAGGAAGAATCCCAATTGTGGCCCAAAATTCTGAAGAGGAAAGTCCACTCAGTCCTGTTGGCCAACCGATGGGAATGGCCAGGGCTGCAGCGGGACCCTTGCCACCAATATCAGCAGACACCAGGGATCAGTTTGGCTCAAGCCATTCCTTGCCTGAAGTTCAGCAACATATGAGAGAAGAGTCACGGACTCGTGGCTATGACCGTGACATAGCATTTATCATGGATGACTTCCAACATGCCATGTCAGATAGCGAAGGTAATTTGGACCTCACAGTTTCCTGTTATGCTCAAAGCTTAAACTCTTATTTTTCTGCATGTTTCATCTTCCTTCTCAAAAGCTGTGGTCTATCTTTTTTTTTTTTGGTGCGTCTTTTGCATGTTTCACATCAGCTTTATTTCATGTAAATGGAAATTTTACCTTCAGTATAGATTTGGTGACACACTTTTCTTGGTTTATTTTTAGTTGATTCTTTTGCTGTTCTGTTTCTTGATTGCTTGATTTGTTCTGTCTGCTTTTGTCGAAACATTATCAGATCATTCTATCAATAAAATGTAATCTTATGCACCCAGAGTTGCAAAAATTTCCATTTTACGTATCTTTCGTTATTTCAGACATGGTTTGGATTTTTCTTTCGCTTTGTGACATTGTTAAAATTATTAGGTAACAGGCTATTGAGAAGAGTTAAGAATTATTCTGATAGACTTTGCAAATACAGAATTATCTGTGTATGTTTCATGAGGTCAATGTCCATTAGTTCAGAAAGCATTCTCCTTCAGAGAACTTTCAGATAAAAACATAGTGCGATTATGTTGCAGATATTGTAGAATCTTATCATTCTCATTAAATAAAATGCTTTTCCTCTTAGATGTTGAAAACTTTGTTCATTTGTATTATAAATTTTAGCACTAAGATATTGAATATAAAATAAGTCATCATATATGAGCATGAAATTGAAAATTTGTGAGCTATTTTTGGGATTTCAGCTCTGTGAAGTTCATGGCCTACAGTTGTATACTTACCCATTCCTAGACTTTATCTTGTATTATTTTGGAATTTTTGTTGTTGGCCTAAGCTTTGCTGCTAGTTTTGCATATTGAGCACTATTTAAAATAAGCACATCCTAACTAAGAATGGCCGAAGGAGATTTCATGTAACCGTGTGGAAACACAAGGTTTTAGTGAATTATCTGTTAAAGTTGGATGCGGAAGATCAGCAATAAGGGAGAAGTGTTACTGACACCAATGAAGACTCTGGCCCATGCCCAGGAGATTAATTTCTCTTACTTCTTCTTCAAAATTACTTCTGGGGCTTACATTTGAAGGTAGGTGTGTAATTGGAATTCTAGAAATAAAATGATTTTGATAAAATCATCCATTTTGAGGCTCCAAAGAAATGAGCTAACCTGAACTTACCTGCCCTACCAAATTTCATTCTTAAAAACTTGCATAAAAAAAATGTTTAGTGAAAAGAAAAATTTTTCCTACTTCTGAATTGCAACACAGCTCTGATTTTTAGAACTAAAATAAATACTGATCCCCGGAGGAAGACAAACTCCTCTTCCTTATGAAAGTTGAGTAAACTCATCACTTTCTGATTAGATTTGTCTCTAGCAGCTATTGGGTTGACCTCATTTTTAGGGATAATTACTTAATCCAACAAAGCACTCCATCTGTCTATGTTTTTATTTAGCTAATTGTTTGAGCAATCTTCATAGTTAACTAAGAGTTGTGATATGGTGATATTCTTTAATCTTTACCCTTTTAAAATCCACACATTTCACACGTTTCATACAGACAAATGTTGCAGAGGAACACGAAATCTCTTTAGTATTCATATTTGTAAATTATATAATAAAAAGAAAGTTTTAGAGGGTTTGTGGCATAATTAAACATGATGAAAGATTTAATAGAATAGCTTATCAAACATCTTTAGTCATCATGATGCCAAATAAAAATACTCTTTCTAGATATCCCCGTATTTGGTATCTACTTACACACAGACATGTGTAAGAAACTGACTGTTTTATTTATCATTTACACTTTCAGATGATGTGCCTTTATAATAATCAAATAATATATGAAAAATCATTTGGCTAAAATGATACAAAATTATGAACTGGGTATTTGTAATGTATTTATATTATATATAACAATAAGTGTATACATAAATAAAAATCTAAAAAACAACCTTCAAATTATATAAATATAGTGTGTATATGTATTGTGATTATCTTTTAAAAAATGAATGTAAAAAGTTAAATACTTCCTGTGGCTTTACATCAATCATGTTAACATACTAATTTTCTTGTAATGAATAATGATCAACTTTTCTTTTGTAATGCAACATTTCTTGCCTTTAACACAGCCCAAAACCATTCAGAATATTGAATTTTTAAAGGGAAAATGAGAAATGATACCTTCCCGGTAATGTAACTGCTGACATTTATGGCCTCAAGATGTTAGGAGTTTTTGAAAAAACAATTACCAGCAAATTTAACTCATACGTTTTAATGTTATGTATGTAACTAAACTATAAGATGGAAGAAGTCACATACTGATAAGTAGACAAAACTACTTCTAAAGAGTTGTCTACTTTGTGAATCCGGTTAAACTCTCTAGAATACAAAATGTTTTTCAGACGTGTTCTTAGGATGCTAGTTAATTTTGAAAAAAAAAAAAAAAACTTCACTCAAGATAAAATTTAGATAATTGTCATTTGTGTTACCTAATATTTATGACTGTCAGCTTGAAGTAGGTTAGAAACGGGCGTGTTAAATTTATTTCTGCAACCACAGGTGTTTTGTTGGTACTTCATCACATGTCTCCCAGATAACTGTTAACATATATAGATTTTTTTCAAAGAAAAAAAAAAAGAAGCTTTATTCACTTTTATTGGAAAGACAGATTTACTGAGAGAAGGGGAGACAAAGGGAAAAATCTTCCATCTGCCAGTTTACTCCCCAAATGGCTGGAGCTGAGCCGATCTGAAGCCAGGAGCCAAGAGCTTCTCTCAGGTCTCCCAAGCAGGTGCAGGGTCCCAAGGCTTTGCACTGTCTGCTGCTGCTTTTCCAGGCCACAAGAAGGGAGCTGGATGGGAAGTAGAGCAGTCAGGTCCTGAACCAGCACCCATAGGGGATGCTGCCAGTTGCAAGGGGAAGACTAGCCAATTGAACCATCAGCTGGCCCCAATATACTTACGACTTTAAAAAATTTTTTGCCAATGTTGGATACTGATTTACACTATTTGTATACCTGTTGCCTGTGTGCAATCTGAAATCCTGAAACCGTTTGTACTTTACAGTCAAGATTCCAGAAAACATTAGCTAGTTTAGAATAATATGCTAGGGCCCGGCAGCGTGGCCTAGCGGCTAAAGTCCTCACCTTGAATGCCCCGGGATCCCATATGGGCACCGGTTTTAATCCCGGCAGCTCCACTTCCCATCCAGCTCCCTGCTTGTGGGGATGGCCCAAAGCTTTGGGACCCTGCACCCATGTGGGAGACCCGGAAGAGGTTCCTGGATCCTGGCTTTGGATTGGCATAGCATCGGTCCTTGCACTCACTTGGGGAGTGAATCATCGGACGGAAGATCTTCCTCTCTGTCTCTCCTCCTCTCTGTATATCTGACTTTCCAATAAATCAGTAAATCTTAAAAAAAAATAATATACTAACAATTACAATTTCAAAAAGCATTTTAGTATATCAAATTTTACAAAACATACCCACTTAAATCACTTGGTTAACTCTAAAACTTCTTATGTCAGAGTTTGTTCTAATGACCATCTTGTTTTTATTATAAAATTCTGGGGCCTGGCACGGTGGCCTAGCACCTAAAGTCCTTGTTTGAACGCACCAGGATCCCACACGGGCACCGGTTCTAATCCCAGCGGCCCCACTTCCCATCCAGCTCCTTGCTTGTGGCCTGGGAAAGCAGTTGAGAATGGTCCAACCTTGAGACCCTGCACCCACATTGGAGACCTGGAGAAAGCTCCTTGCTCCTGACTTTAGATCAGCTTAGTTTTGGCCATTGCGCTCATTGGAGGAGTGAATCATCGGACAGAAGATCTTCCTTTCTGTCTCTCCTCATCTCTCTATAAGAATAAATAAATCTTTTTTTTTTTAATCTGGTAGTCAATATTAAGACTTGAAATACTCATCATACAAATTTTCCTGTCAATAACATCTGATCCATTTTTGGGACGAAGCGTTTTTGTTCGTCTGTGATTGTCATAGTTTCAAAAAACTAGTGGAAATGCCACAAGTTTCGTATTACCGCTGGTTAGATGTAATAGAAAGACAACATGAACTTCCAAACTTAAAAAACACTATTTTTCAATGATTGGTAGTACGTCATAGATGAAGACGTGGATACTGATGGACAGAGCTTCAGTGAAGTAACTCTTCCTGAATATTTTCTTCATTTTTTTTCCCCTTACTGTCTAAATTTTCTTTCTCTCTAGATATAAACATTGTTTAATGTATTTATGCATTTTTAAAAATCATTTTCTCCCCTGTATCTGGGTCAGGGGAGAAACTTCCCTTTGGATATCAAATTTGATTTTCTTTATTTTACCTTACGTTGGTTTTGATGTGTTTTTTTTTTTTTTATCTAGTTTAGCTTATGGAACAAAATTTGCATCACGGTATTTGATGTTCACATAGTCATAAAAATGCTTTCTTCTGATCCCATTGGAGCTGTGTATAAAACGCATGTCTGGTTCACAAGCCTAGCGCATGTTTGTGCTGCCGAACATCTGCTGCCCTCTGTCATCCGGTATTAGTTTTGCTTGCAATGTGTGATGTCTCCTTGGTCTCCAAAGCCTACCACCTGCGTCGTGAGGAAACTGATTGGTTTGATAAACCCAGAGAATCTCGTTTGGAAAATGGGCATGGTCTGGACAGAAAACTGCCAGAAAGACTGGTCCACTCCAGGCCACTCAGTCAACATCAAGAACAAGTAAGTATTGACTACTGTGTTGATCAATAAAGCAAAGGTTGTCAAAACAGCTATTTCACATAAATATCGATTCTCAATTCAGGGCAAGTATTTCTTTTGGAAGTTTTGTAGGTGAGATGATAGCTTTATTCTGGAGGAGATACCAGCCATGTTTCTGTGAGTGCAGGATTGCCAAGACAGTGACCCAGAGACCAGCTGCTTGAGAGGAGGATTGGGAAACAGCTTTGGCTCAGTCCTACCCCCAGTCTCATTCTTGCTCTTATTGGACAGAAGCAGCTTCTGTGGTGCAACCCATCTGCCAGTATTTGTCAATAATGACGCCCAAGAGGAGCCGAGCTCCATCAAGTTTTGACCTGGGAAATAGGCCTCTGCTTTCGGCGACTCTTGGTTATGTCAATCATGACTGTGATTTTTTATGATTTTGATTTATTAATTTAGACTAATGAATCTGGCTACAGATAATCTCAGTCTACAAAAGATTATATGACATGCTAAGAAACCCACAATTATGTGATTATTCCTTTGTCGAATATCATTCTAGGTGGAAATTAAAGTGATATAAGTCACTGGATGGTGAATCTCTGTTAAAAATATGGAAATTATTATTGTTTTAATTGTACAATAGGTGCACTACAAAATTACATTGGCTTTACCCCAACACCAAAATTAGAAAGAATGCCAAAACAGGAAATTCTGTTCGGGGATTTATTCTTTGCAAAGACAACTTTTTAAAATCATTATCCAATGATGCATGAAGTAAGAATGTATTTGAAGTAAAATAATATTTTCAAATATTACCTGTGCATCATGGAAAAACCATTGTACCTAATACTTGTTCAATTTTAAATACGTACCTTTCCGTTAAAACAACACAAATCCTTAAATACAGAGGTAAAGAGAAAGCATGGGTTTTCAGCAGTTTACAAAGCATTTAAACGAGTTTTCTGACTTGACCGATTACCACAACCGTAATGAAAAATAAAGGCTGCAAGTTCAGCTTGCATTTATCAATGCCTGTCTTATCTAATGCACAAAAGTTTAGCAATTTTCAATCTGTGTTTGCTGGAGTGCATCAAAGTCACAGTTTTTCCAATAAATCTCTGTTCACCAAAAGTACCTCAGCAGTTGACTTTTCAATCCACACAGGTTAATTTTAACAAAAAGAATAAAAATCTTCTAAATCACATTAGGGGAGGGAAGGAAAGAGAGAAAACGAGAAGAGAGTAGAATCCTGTCAGTTCTAATTGTGTTTAATGTTTTGTGCTGGTGCTTCCACAATCTTTCATTTTTAAATTTTATTTATTACTTACCTAAGATGGATGAATTTCATGTAATTTTCAATATAGAACACAATGAGACTTCCAACACCCCTTGCCAAAATTCCCATCTATCCTCCTCCTTTCTCTTTTTTCAAATTCTTAAAACATGCTTTAGTGGCCTTCACAAGGCACAACACTCCATTAGGTAAAGATTTCAAAAATAGCAAGCTGGAAAAAAAAATGATTATCAGTAGTACGTAGAAAAAAAGGCTGTAAGCAACAATCAAATCTCAAAAGGTTAATTTCAGTCATATTGGTTATATTTTTGTACTCTGCATATTAGTTACATAGGTCAGGAAAAACATCTTTTGAGGAGGACTGGCTTTTTTTTCACTAAGCAAAATGGTTTCAGTTGCATTCATTTTGTTGTAAAAGATAATATTTCATTATTTCTTATGGCTGAGAACACTTTTTTATTGAGTCGTAAGCTAGTGGACATCTGGATTTATCAAATGTAGCTAGGATAAATTGAGTTGCTATGAATATGTGAGTACAGATAATTATACATCCTTCTTACTTAAGTAAGTGGTATGAAATCTATCCATTAATAATTACTTTTCATTTCTAATGCAAGCTGAAAACTGTCCCAGATAGTAGATAAAATTTCACAATAGTAGAATTCTGTTATAATACATATAAATCAATATTTTACTCTTTCCGTCTTCCATCATGTCTTCACAAACTCTTTTGAAAGCAGAAGGCTGGCTTTGTGTTGTGACAGGTAAAGCTGCCTGCTGCTCCGGTATGGGTACCAGTTTTTGTCCTGGTTATTCTATTTCCCATGCAGCTCCCTGATAATGTATGTACGTATGTAGTGTGTGTGTGTGTGTGTGTGTGTGTGTGTGTACAGACAGAGAAAGCACGAACTTGATTTGCCGATTCATTTTTCAGAAACCCCATTCATTGAGTGGAAACAAAGAGAAGCCAGTTTGTAGTTCATGTTCATTTGAGCCATGACTGTTGAAGTCAGACTTGCAATGACAGTTTTGCATGTTACTTCTTCTACACAAAGAACGTTCCATAGTAAATGAGGAATAACACTACTCATATCAAAACCACTGAGTACCAAGAAGTCTTTAGGAAGTGTTGAAATGAGAAAAGCCTTTATTGGTACAGGACTAGTGTCAAAGTACATGAAACCTTCTGAATGCTCAATAGAGATATAATTCAACAAGACAATCGGGCAAAATAATGCTGTTCCTTGAAAAAAAATTATTTCAAAGACAGTTGGAGAGAAAGATTGATTTTTCCGTCTGCTAGTTCACTTCCCAAATGGCTGCAAAGGCAATGGCTGGTGCAGGTCAAAGACGGGAGCCTGTAGCTTCGTGCTGGTCTCCCTGATGGGTGACGGGAGCCCAAGCACATTGGCCAGCTTTCACTTCCTTCCTTGGCATGTTAGCAAGGAGCTGGATGGGAAGTGCAGCCATGTGAATCAAACCTGTGCTGATACGCAATGTCAGTATTATAAGCGGCAACTAAAGTCACTTCTTCACAAAGGGGAAGTGATTACAGTGATAATGGCGTGGAGTAGTAATTTCCAGACATTTCTCCCTTAGCACCAATTAATGGCTAAAAAAGTAAACAAAAAAAAAATCGTATTTCCATTTCTCTATTGCCCAGAGCAGTACCTGTAGCCGGCATTTTTCATGTACATTGTCCATCAATATTTAGTACATATGATTGCAATAAGAAATGTTCTTCAGAATCTATTACATGTGCTCATCAGATTCCCACAGTAAACAGCGTGAGTGTAGTTGGTTACACATGTGATGAGTGTAGTGAACTCAGAAAGTAATGTTTATGCTGCATCCAAGGTGACTACATTATCGTTCAAAGCTTCTGAGACATTTTCACTGATGTAATCAATACGCTTGTTTTAGAATGGAGCAGTTCTATCTATTGCTACATAGGTGTCTTTAACGGGATCTTTTTTCTTTATTACGTGTATGTCTTAGATTATACAAATGAACGGGAAGACTGTACACTATATCTTTCCTCATGCGAGAATAAAAATAACAAGGGACTCCAAGGATCATACAGTGTCAGGTAAGCAGAGCAAATAAGAGAGTTTTGGCAATTGTGGTGTTAGACTGAGGTATTTGTTTGATGTCAACATAGACGGTTCATTAAACGTTAAAAAAAAACCTACACTTTTATATAAAAAAGTTGTATTTCAGAAAATGTGAAGCAGGCTCTACACTTGAATATAAAAGATGTTAGTGGCATAATCATTAATAGGAAAAGTTTCCCTTGAGATCATTCCTTTCTTTTTAACATTTTTATATAATATTGTTTACAGGGTTGACAGGGAGACCTATGGGTCTCCCGTTGGGTGGGGAGGGTTGAGGTATGGAGGAAGGTGGGTGGGACAAATGCTTCCATCCCTTCTTCTCCTGTGTCCACAGCAGAGGAAGGGAGGGGCCACGCCATGCTGTCAAACATCAGCAGTGGGGATGGAGGATGATCATTTGATGATGCCTTTTAGAAGAGTGGTTCAAGGGTTAACTGAGGGGTTTTGATACTTCCGAGTTGTCATTGGCTCTACTGTACCTGGGTTGAGAAAATCACTCCAAGGCCTGTTGGCTGCCAAAGTCCACCTTAGTGCATCTGGAGTCCCAGGAATATATTGCAGAGTATGGTCAACAGAGTGGTCAACTTGTTCTGTTTTCCATCCTCTGACGAGGCCACTCAGCATCCTCTGTTGGCCTAGATAAGCTGGATGTCATGTCTCCCATGTGCGTCTGGGCATGGTTTCCACTACACAGGCATCAACAACTGAGGAGATCCAGTCCTGACCCCTGTGCTCCATATATATCAGACCACATGTACTGTGATTTTCCATGTTGCCAGAGTTTGAGTCCACTCACCTTGGGCAGTCCCCCCAAGAAACCTCGCCTCGTGTGATCTCAGACTTGACTTTTCTGTGTACCAGCCAGAGTTGGGTTAGAGTTGGTTCATTACCTGCTCCAGCCAACACACATATTGGTGAATGCAGTTGCCTGGTCATTTCATCCCCGAGCCCTATCTCTCATCCAGATGGATGGATTCTCTGTAGCCTAGCCCATCCAGCCTGACATAGGCCCAGCCTTTAAGCACACCAGCAGGTGCTGCACCCTAGTCAGGTGACCTCCCAAACTGGGCCTACTCCCAGTCCCAGTTTATGTAATAGCATGAACTGCAGCCCAACCCTGTCTGTCCTGCAGCCCATCTGGCTCGTGCACAACCATGGAAGCTGCAGGTTGAGTTCTCTCTCAAGCATATTCTTTATGTCTCGTGGACAACCTAACTGAATAGAAATTATTCATAAATATATATATTCATGTATAATATACATGTAAACAGAAGAGGTAACCTGGTGTATATGATGGGTTTTCCTCTTAGCACTGATACAGCATAAAACATAAAATGTTTCTTTACACATAAAATGTGTAATTCCTGTCATTCCTTGCAAATTTTAGGCCATGAAAAAATGTGCATGTGGAGTAGATTTTCCTGTTTTTATATTAGTATGGACGCTTGATTCTTATCCATTTCATACTAATGCTGTGACTTAATTTGGGGGTGGCGAGTTGGGTTTATAGACTGACTCCAGCAAAGACCCCGATCTTCAACCTACAGCAATATGGCTAGGGGATTTGAAGCATAAATATTTCCATACAATTTTAGGAAAAAATGAGACAAAAGTTAGAAAATTTATAAACTTTATTGTTTATACATACACCTATGTAGAAGTATTAGATCTGTGATGGAATTCAGCTGCAATTCCTATTCAATTTTTGAGAATAAGTTTGTTCATTGATTACCTATGAAGCACTTCATATATCTTATACAATGAGAAGTGAACCTAAAACAGAATCTTGCACTAACCATATGCTCCACTAAAGCTATTTGCTCTTCTTGGAAGAAATGAGTAACAACAACAAAAAAGGAAGTGAGCAAAAAAAAGTCATACTCAAGAAATGAGTCTCTTCCCTCCCTCTCTTGCCCTCATTTAGAATTCCATCTATAGTTCCACAGCTGTTTGAAACAAACCAGGGAAATTTTGTTCTGGTTTTTAAAAAAAGCGTCTGCTATATATATTTCCATAATGGACTGGCTACATCTGCAAGGCTAAATAGACTAATTAGCAACTAGAATAGTGAAGAATGTTAAAGATGCTGTGAAGTTTTTGAAGATATCAGCTTCTTTTTAGGAACTAGTGGCTCATTTTTCATTAGTCACCATGTTTGGGGGGTTTTAGGACCTGGAGAAAAATTATAACATATTTTATCGGATCTTAGTAGCCTTATGGGGACAACTTTTTTTTATGACTCTTTAAGCAGGTTTATCAAGACATGGTTTGCATAACATAAGTGAACATCCTTGGTGTACAAATCAGTGGCCTTGATACATTTAGGAAACCAAAATCTTGACTTCGAAATTTCAGTCATTACAGAAAATTTCCTGTAGATAGCTACAAATGACTTTCCATGACTCTTGCCCAGTATTCAATAACTATTGATCACTTTGTCTGTGTGTTTGCCTTTCTTAAGCATTTTATGTAATTGGAGTAACGGTAAGCAATTTTCTTGTCTGACTTCTCTCACTTTCCAGAAATGTTTAACTACATCAATGGGTTACTCCTTTTAATTACTGAATATCTTTCATTGCTTGAATATTCTGCATTTTGCCCATCCATCCGATTTCCTCTAGTTTAAAAATTTGCATAAAATTTCTAGTCTAGATAGATGTTAGTTTTGTTGACTAATTACCCTAGATGTGAAATTGCTGGATTGTAAACAAATCTACTTAACCAAGAGACTGCCAGCTTTTCATTCAGTGCACCATGTTACTGTACAGTCAACAGTAAAGGTTCAACTTCCCCCCATATTGTAGCTAGCGTATGATAGTGCCTGCTTTTTTGGAAGGAGGAAAGTTCTTTTTTCTTTAACTTAATTTTTAAAGATTTATTGTTGTATCTGAAAGCATTAGAGAAGTGGGAGAGGACAAAGAGAGAGAGAAAAAGAGAGAGAGAGAGAGAGAGAGAGAGAGAGAGAGAGAGAGGTGCCATTCATTGAGTCACCAAGGTTAGAGTTGAATTGAATTTGAATCAAGGACTTTATTTCTGTCTTCCAGGCAGCGGATGAGGGTCTCAAGCACTTGAATCACCCACCTTCTGCTGTTTCCCCAGGCACTTTGGCAGGGAAATGGGTCAGAAATTGAGCATAAGGACACAAACCTTTGCCCATGTGGATGATTCTTTGCAAGCAGTGGACTAAGTCACTAGTCCACATGCTGCCCAATTTACTGTATTAATAGTTTATGCCTTTGAACATCTTTTTATGGATCCATAAGTAATGTAGTAAATATTTTATTGCTGAAAATCTTTGCTCATTATGTAGCTGTCTTCCTAATCAATTGGGAGAGTTCTTTATATATTTGGAAACAATTCCTTGAATGATGTACACATACTGTTTTCTAACCTGTCTCTTGTCCTTTTACTTATTTAATAATTATCTGTTAAAGAAAATGGTTTACATTTGAATGGAATCCATTTTTAACATTTTTTAAATTAAATCCTGTTGCTGTTAAAAGCTTATTAAGAAATATTTGCCTATCTCAAGGCCGCCAACATGCTTACATATGATTTCTCTTAGATGCTAGAGTTTGTTTCTTTGTTTATTGAAAGAAAAAAAAAATCTTCTGTCTTCTGGCTTACTCACCCAAGGCTCACATCGCCCAAGGGTGGGCCAGGCTGAAACCAGGATCCTGGAATTTAACTGGGCCTCCTATGTGGGTAGCAGGGATCTAAGCCATTGAGCATCATCTGCTATCATTCCAAGGGCACATACACAGGAAGATGGATCGGAAGTGGAGTAGCAAGCACTCAAACTAGACACTTCAGTTTGGAATGCAGGAATCCAAGTAGGCAATTTAATCACTTCATTACATGCCTGCCCTATGAGATTTATATATTCCACACCATGAACTACCTTGTGATTTTTGTGTACAATGTAAAATAGAAATTCTTTTGAGATTGATTTATTTCACTTAGCTGACTGGTCTCCTATTGGGACCATTTTGTTAGAATTTCATTCTTTTTAATGGCTGAGTAGTCGTCCCTGGAGTAGATGCACCATGGTTTCTTCATCCACTGCACTTTTGACTGGCGTCTGGGTTGTTTCCGTTTCTGCTATTTATAGATTGTGCTGCTGTAAGTATAGGGTTACAGGTCTCCTTCTCGTATACAGATTTCATTCTCTTTGTATATATTCCTGGAAATGGGAATTGTTGCTAGATTTTTGAATGTAGACCAATCTCACTGGAGTTAGGTGGGACCCACTGTGGCGTTTATTTAGATTTTCTTAATGGCTGGGGAGCCTGAGCATTTTTTCATATGTGTATTAGCCCTTTGAATTGACCCACTAATGGGTCAATTGTAATTGCACAAATAAGTTTCATTGGGAAGAAAATCTCCCATTGAATTACTCTTACAATAAAAACTGTGACCAAATTAGATAGAGAATGAACGTATCTCAAAATAATCAAGACCAAAAGCTAACATCATGTTGAGTATGGGAAAGCTTAAGTTGCTCTCATGAAAATACGTGTAAAATTTTCAGCCCAAAAGTCATACTTAAGACCCACAAAATCATCAATACAAATGTCATTAGGACTCAAAATTTAATAAGTCTGGGAGGGTTTTTTTTTTATACTTACATTTATATTACATGAATCATAATGATAGTTTAAATGCTGAGACAAGTAGGAACAACGATTTGATGGAACACATATGAGTCCATGGTAAGACAGACACAGCCAGCAACCAGCAGCCCCATCTGCCTGTGTTATAATGACTCAGAGGACAGTCAGTTTCAGGCAGGCTGAGAATGTACATATTGGCAAAGTGTTAACACACTGTGTCACAACTATGTTGATCCAGGGATGATGGCACTCGGTGTGATGACTGCCCTCCCCGGGACTGATGGCCACATTGTTGACGTCTGTTAACACGGATGGAAACTTTAAGCCAACCTTTATCCCGCATGGTCCATAATCAGCACTAA